GGAAGGACGGTGAACTATTTATCGGTCCTCATTCCACAGAACGGCGCAACGATGCAGGTGAAAGGTTAGCGACTTTCTGCGAATCGCACCATCTCTTTCATGGCAACAGTCAGTTCCTCAAAGCGGCTTCCAAAATACGGACTCACGTATCTCCGAATGGGCAGCACTTTCATGAAATCGACCACGTGCTGTACAATCGAAGGGTCGCAACTGATGTCGCTGTTGTTCCTTCCTTCAACACTGGAAGCGACCATCGCCTTCTACGAGCACGATTCCACTTCGAGCGAGGCCTGATGCGAACGTTACGCGTACGGTCAAGACAAACATGTCCCCGGACAGTGTTGAATGCGGAATTAGAGCAGGATTAGCGAGAACAGAATCATTTGAAATGGCGGATGGTATTGACGAAGATTACCAAAGACTCGTTGAAACTGTGAAAGAACTTTGCAGAACGCTGTCGGACGTGGCCTCGCGAACCACAACCAGTAGTGCGATATCGTTCTCTAACCTCCGCACCTGCTCGAAAATCGGTGAATGAGAGCATCGATCGCCAAGGGAATCACTTAGAACACGCTTCTATCCAGGTTGTGCAGACGGCGAATCGCCGAAGACCACGCAAGCTTCGCCCGGTCAAGGCTTCTACGTGAAGCGGAGAAAAGAAGAAGCCTCAAGAGAGCTAGGAGGAATATAGCAGAGCACCGCTTGATGATCCAGTGTCCTCAGAGCCCGAAGATCGGGATTCGTTGCGTCGGTCGAGCAGAGATGGAGCAGATTCTGAAGACGTTCTATACAACCCTCTTCAAATCGGAACTCCCCATATGGAAAGCATAAAAAACCACCGGCAAGATCGGGGTTCAGTATTGCCCTTCCTCACATCAGAGGTGCGTCATGCAATTCAAACGATGCCACAAGGAAAAGCACCCGGCAAGGATGGAATTACAGCAGAACTGCTCCAGGCTTGTGGACATCCGCTTTACCAAGCTCTTGCCAAAAGGTATTCGCGCTACGTGGATGAAAGTGTGGTGCCAACGGCTTGGAAGGAGTCATCAAACTATAGGCTGTGTGTTCAAAAGGAAAGGAGACAAAATGAGACCTTGGCGAATTACCGGCCAATCACGCTCCTTCCAATACTCTACAAAGTGTTCACACGTTGTATTTTGGCGCGCATACGAAGGACGCTAGAAGAAGCACAGCCGGTCGAACAGGCAGGATTCCGTCGGAAGTTCAGCACGCTAGACCACATTGCAACTTGCCGGCGTCTCATAGAAGTAGCTCGAGAGCACCGCATGCCTCTTGTACTCACGTTCGTCGACTACAAGAAAGCGTTTGACTCAGTGGAACCAAAGAAAGTCTGGGAAGCATTAGAAGAGCAAGGAATAGAGAAGGTCTACATAGATGTGCTCCGAGAATGCTATACCGGTTGTACCACCACGTTCTGCCCATTCTTCAACGACGTAGTAGTACAATCCGAGAAAGGAGTGCGGCAAGGTGATCACTCCTCACGCCCCACCTTGGTTCTCAGCATGTTTAAATTCTGTTGTAGCCAGCTGCGATGAGCAACTTTGACTGGAACATACGCGTACTCTTGCTGAACTCTCTGCGATTCCTGATGACGTTGTCCTGTATGTAACAGGCCAGCCGAGAGGAAGCTTCGAGATGCATAAATGCGTCTGGAACCAGCAAGAAATTCGTACGGTTCAACGATGAACACCTGAAAAACGAAAGTCATGCGAAATCAGTTCGCTGGAGGTGCAACCGTAATGCTGAAAGGGAACCCAATAGAGGACGTTGAGGAATACGTATACCTCGGCAGCCAGCTGAACATGAGGAATGATTTAAGTGGAGAGTTAGCGAAGGTCGCTTGCAGGAGCAGCATTCAACTCTATAAAGAGCGTCGTAGAAGATACAAAGAGTCGCAAACTCCGTGCAGACCTCTTCAATACAACAGTGCTGCCTGCCCTCAGTTACGCGGGAGAAACTTGGGCCCTAACGAAAGCGCACGAAAGACGATTAAAAATTATCCAGGCATCGATTGAGCGCAGCTTAGTAGGCCTGACTTTAAGCCGTCAACGAGAATTAAAATTTTACAACTCAGTACTCAGAGCTATAGTCGAAGATCAAAACATTGTACTTCCAATGTTGACCTGAAGCAAAGCTCGATTGCGGCCACAGTGATGAGGAGAAATGAGGAAATGGAGTTCGCTGCAAACCCAATGACCGATGGTACCCGCGTGACAAGAAGCGACCGCCGGGTCGCCCTCCTCTGCGCTGGGCCGATTCCCTGGCCTATCGCAACAATGTTTATGATCAAATTTCTCTTAAGGTCTATACGCACTGGACAAGCAAGCTCAAAACAGAGATCAATGGAAATGATAATTTGGGACGCGCCGCTAAGTTCAATCGCGCGCTGCTGAAGAACGGTCCCTAAGTAACCTAAATAGGTAATTAGTAATTACTACTCGAAGAGAAAGTTTGCAAGAAATTCCGTGGTAGCTGAAGAGGTAGACCACATGACTAAGCCGCTGAGTCCATTGCCAAAAGCCTCGACGGCGCACTACTACTAGGTAGCAGCCCCTCTACACGCATACTCCTTTTCCAAGTGAGGTGAGAGTGAGGTTATAAGGGAAAAGAGCTGATATCGTTGTGATAACAACAAGCGAGAATCAATACATACACGCCTTCTATTCAGTGAATGCACGTACAAGTTGGGATCAGCGGGGTCCTCTTTGTGGCATTTCGGATGGCGTTTTCTGCTTCTTTCCTCATTATTTAGTTACTTAGAGCCCTGTCTTCCGCGTTTCAGCTCCATTATTTACCATCTCAGATAGCGGGATTTGCCAAGGCGTCCAAGTCCACGTTTTAACGGGAAGAATCTTCTGAGGTACAAGGATTAGGACGCACCCATTTACTGCTCCTACTGCAAAATAGATTTTTGCCTACTTCGAAAGAGCGTGGTGAAAGACGCAGGACTTGTCCTCATCAGCAGATAGGCTGCGGAACTCGAGAGTGATTCACTCGCCGGGCAATTCTGCATGCACCTTACGTTTGGCTTCGCACGTTTCCGACTGTCCATCACAGTTTGTACGACTGCCAGTATGTCTTCGTTTGTAGCTTTCCATATGCTCGTGCAGAGCTCATAGACAGCAACGAAGAAGAGGGACCAGTGTAGGACGTTTCTGAGAAAATTTCTCATTTTTCTTTCGAACTAGTATTCAGTTAGCACCTAAAGATGTAATCCAAACCTCAACTACCCTATTCTTCTCCATGTAACTTCCAAGACTGCATGTGGAAGGCAAAGTGCAAAAACTAACCTTCCAGTATTTCGTGGGCTGCTACATGTATGTTCATCGAATGACTGTCACAAAGAAATTCTAGTTTATCTTTGGCTCCTAGTTCTTCCATTCGAGTAGCGACAGGGTTTAAGAAGTCTGAAACCAAAAAAAATTATACTTACATTGCGTTGTGCTTGGCCGACTGGTCTACTATGTCCTTTTCAAATTAATCGTCTCTAATTCATTGAGGATAAAAATGCGGTACGCGTCAAGTTAGTACGTTTCTTAATTCCATGAAAAGTAAAGCAAAGGAAAATCTCGCACAATGAGAGTTCTGACTCACAGGGCATACTCAGAAAATCCAAGTAACTTTTTTACATCGGCACTTAGTGCACTTTGTTTAGAAATAAAAAAAATGGGAGGAATAACGGGATGTCTACCTGCTAATCCCATGGCGAGCTCTTCTCCATAAGCGAGCAGTGACGATAGTGCTTCCATAACGTCAGCCACAAGAGAGTGCTCCAAAACTGTCAGAAAATCACACAGTGGGGCTAGTAAATCAGCTCCAAGGAGAGCCGCTAGATGACAAGATCGATTGGACGTTGCCGCATGAATACATATTAAGAATTGCCTTAAAATCTAATCAAAACGTGGAATAACACCCAACACGAAAACATCAAACACCAAATAATTCTTTGCGAGTAATTAATTAATGCCCTTTTCATCAAGATGTCTACTTTTCAAAGGTCTGTCCAAACTAGCAAAGCGAAATAAAATTCACAGATTAAAATAAAGGGAAAGCGTATTTAGTGTTATTTGAGATTTAGTTCTTTCTTTGAGATTTAAAAATCTGCTTCTCATGCGCAAAGTGTTCAGATCCAATCCGTCAGAACTATCTCTACTAAGTGCTTGGCATTTTTCATTGTCGAGACCTTGAGAGTTCTCCGAAAAGATCCGCAATCGCAAACGACCGCAAGAGCTGAAAGATGGAGAACGGTTGACCAAGGAAACGATAAGGGAAAATAGCGTGTCAGTGTGGTTGGCTCCCACTCCTACAGCTCCTTCTAATGAATTGTTATTGCCGCAAAAGCTCGCATTTTGTCATCTCCCCTTGTGTATGTATTGGATTGTTAATCATTTTCTTCGATTCTCCCTATCAATCGTTAGAATCGCTTTCTGCCCTATTTCCCCTGTGCCGCGTATAAACAGTGTCTAAGGTCTTTAAAAAAGTAAGTTTCCGCGATTCTCCTTCGTGGGGAAAGAGAATAAAAGAAAAATGAATCAAGTGAAGCGTTTTCTCACCTCTTTACGTGTCTCGTAATCTGCCATTTCCAATAAACTTGGATATTCTTGAGCACACAAAGCACTACGACCGCTGATAGCATTGTTAGGGCGTTCCTGTTGCTCAAGGAGAGCGCCGTCCCACCAAGAGCTTGGGCACTTGGGTTCTTTTGTCACGGGAATCAGTATGGGGTTCCGGCGTAACTCTACCCTGACGGGTATTCCGATCCCGCTTCAAGCTCGTACACCACGACAAGGTAGAACCCATGTGCGAGTCGAATGTAGTACAGCCTCTACAACCACGTACAGAATCATCTGACACATTTGAGAGGTAATAGCCCTAGTTTATGAGCGGGACGTGCTTTTACAGCATTGTGCTTTGAAAGTCTGGGTGACCTTGGAAGCTGCACACCAGTGTGGACCTTGCAAAAATCTGCTTTTTCGCTCCGTGTTGTAAAAGATCGATCCTTTAACCATTAGTTGATCTAGAAAGTGCGCAAGTAACTTGTTTGTATTCAGTTTTACTAGTTTTGCCCATTCGAACCGCATCTAATCGTGTTACTTCTACTGCGTCACAGCCTAGTCTTCACGTTTTGCTTGTTCTAGGTACTTTTACTCATACGACGAGAACGAGATGACGACACAACTAGCAGTTTCCATGCCGCCTTATTCTGGAGTTTCGACACGGGATTCCATGGATGAGACTATTGATATGATTGTTAAAAGTGTATGTCTTTAAAAGCATTTCAGTATCCTTGACTGACCTTTTTTGATCTGACATCAAGTTGTACGAGGCTCTGAAAAGTAGTGTTTTTGCATAAAATCCATCAAAACTTCAACTAAGAATTGTCTTTGCTTTTTGTATCTTTTGCTTTATCTAGTGTGCTTTTCTTGTCTCCGTCATTACAGTCTTGTTCGCTGCGGATGAAGGGGCGTGTCAATGCGGCTGCTTTAGCGTGGCGCCACCTGGTCCTATGTTTGTTGTTTAAGCGGCTGAGGGACAAAAAATGGGAAAACGACTGTTACATTCGATATGGTGCAGTCAGGACGTTGATACCCCCCCCTCCCCCATCATCCCCACTGACGAATACGCAGCGAACAGGACTGTCATTAAGACTGTTCCGCTTTCACAGAAGTTATTGACCTCGGTGTTCTCAACTTGCATACTTTGGCGGGTAAGTACATGTGCTTAACC